GCGCTCGGACTGCCCCTTCCACACGAGATATACACTCTGGTGTGATTATGTGATTGTTTGTCTCGCCTGTCGCTGGATTATAAACTCCATGACAACATGTGTCTGATTTTTTTACCACGAGTCTCCTGGCCCACAAAAAAATATTTAGCAGATGACAATATTAGTTAAATCACAAACCACAGGCTAGGCAATTTCCTCTGCAGAGCCCCACATGTTCATCCCCAAGCACTCTCTTGGGCCAGGCCCAGCAGGTCTCAGTCCCTGGGTAGGGAGAGAAACTAACATACCAAAGGAGTTGACTCTGGGTCCTTCCAGTTACTTGGACCAAAAACAATGGAGTCAGCCTTGACTGCTCTAAAATGGTGATGCCATTTTTACACCTGAAGTGATCAGAATTGCCCCAAAATAATCCAGTGAAGGGAGTTGGGGTGGGGGGGAGTGGGAGGGGTATAAATGAAACAAAATTGTTTGCTGAATGATATTAAAGCAGAGGTGGGAATTCATTGCACTATTCTCCCTACTTTTGCATATATTTGAAAATTTCCAAAATAAAAGTTATTTCTTTTTTTCCCCCTTAGAATCTGACCAGTTCTCCCCACCTCCACAGCTACCACCCTGGTCCTGCCACAACCATCCTTCACCTGGATTATTGCAGGGGGCTCCTCACTGGTCTCCCTGCTTCCACCCTAACCCTCCTATAGTCTTCTTTTTATCCTCCAAACACTTTATTTTGAAAAATGTTGAACCTATGAAAAAAAAAAAAGAAAGAATATACAATGAACACTTTTTATCTTTCACCTGGATTTGACAATGGGTAAAACTTTGTCACGTTTGCTTTCTGTGTGTGTGTATTCACACACATGTACATTCTCTCTTTTTTTTTTTTTGCTGAACCATTTCCAGATAAGTTACAGGCTTCATGATACCTCACCTCTAAATATTTCAGCCTGTTATCTCCTAAGAACAAGGACATTCTCATATGTAACTACAATACATTGTCATACCCAAGAAATTTAATATTGATGCAGTAATATTTAATATACAGTCCATATTGAAATTTCTTCAATTATCCCCCCAAACTGTCCCTTATAGCCTTAAAAAAAAAAAATCCAATATCAAATCAAGGATCACACAACACATTTCGTTGTTATGTCTCTTTGTTGTTGGTGGTGGTGGTTGCTGTTGAGACAGCTCTTTAGTCTCTAATCTCAAACAGTCTCCCAACCTTTTTTGATCTTTTATGGGGTTGATATTTTTGACGTGTCCAGGCCAGTTGTCTTGCATCTAGAGTCTGTTCTCAACACAGCAACCACAGCAATTCTTCTAAAACCAAAGTCAGATCATGTCACTCCTCTGCTCTAACTCCCAGAACAGCTGCTGGTCTTGCTCAGAGTAAAAGCCAAAATCCTTATAATGGCCCACAAGGCCCTGCATGATTTGATGCCTCCACCCACAACTTCTTCTAAGACCTCAACTCCCATGCTTTTTCCCCTCTCACAGTTACAGGCATCCTTGCTCTTCCTTGACCATGTCACACTAGCACCTGTTGTAAGACTCATTCTTGGTGGTTCCTCAAAAAGTTAAGTAGAGAATTACCATATGACCCAGCAATTTCACCTCTGGGTATATACCCAAAAGAAATTAAAACAAGGACTCAGACAGATATTTGAATGACAATGTTCACTGCAGGACACAAACTATTTATATGCCAAAGTCAAAAAGTGGAAACAACCCAAGTGTCCATCAACTGATGAATGGAGAAACATACATACAATGGACTATTATTCAGCCATAAAAAGGAATGAAGTTCTGATATACTGTACGACATGAATGAACCTTGAAAACATTATGCTGAGTGAAATAAGCCAGACACAAACAGCCAAATGTATGATTCCACTTATACGGATGGAGTATCTACAATAAGCAAATTCATAGAGACAGAAAGTAGATTAGAGGTTACCAAGGGCTGGGAAAGCAGAGGAATGGGGAGTTATTGCTTACGGGGTACAGAGTTTCTGTCCAGGGTGATGAAAACATTTTGGAAATAAATCACGGTGATGGTTGCACAGATTGTGAATGTAATTAATGCTACTGAACTATACATTTAATATTTTACCACAATTTAAATAAAGAAAGAAAGAAAGACTGCTGCTTCTTCCTAAAATGCTCTTCCCCAGATAATTGGTTGGTTCAGTCCCTTACTTCATTCAAGTCTCGGCTCAAATGCCACCTTCTCAGTGAGGCCCACACTTACAACTCTTTTAATACTGCAACCTGCCCCTCCCTGCCCCAGCCCTCCTCATCCTCCAAATTCCCTTACTCTGCTCTACTCTTTTTTTTTTAATGACACATTTTTCATTTTGAAAACAATCTCAAACTTAGAAAAAAGTTGCAAATATAAAAAACCTTTTTTCCCTTAACCATTTGAGAGTAAATTGCTGACCCGACATCCTATCACCTAGAATATACATTTCCTACAATCAAGGACATTTTCCTATTGAACCGCAACACAACCTTTAGTATCAGGACACTCGAATTGGTGTCGGAATCTCTGGTGATGCAGTGGTTAAGGAGCTCGGCTGCTAACCAAAAGGTCAGCAGTTGGAATCCACGAGCTGCTCTGTGGGAGAAAGATGTGGCAGTTTGCTTCCTAAAGACTGACAGCCTTGGAACCCTATGGGGCAGTTCTACTCTGTCCTATAGGGTCACTGAGTTGGAATCGACTGTACAGCAGTGGGGTTTTTGGTTTTGGTGCTGCAGTGGTCAAGTGCTTGGCTGACAGCAATGGGTTTGGTTTGGAATCCTCAGACCCCATTCAAGTTTCACCAATTGTCCCAATAATGTCCTTTATAGCCAGGGGATCCAGTCTAGAATCAAGCATTGTATTTGGTTGTCTCTTTCAACCTGGAATAGTTTCTCAGGCTTTCCTTGACTTTCATGGCCTTGACACTTTGGAAGATTATGGGCCAGTTACTTGGTAGAATGTCTTTCAATTTGGGTTTATCTGGTGTTTCCTCATGATTAGATTCACATTTTGCGTCTTTGGCAGGAACATTACAGAAGTGATGCTGAGTTCTCAGGTAACCCATGATTTCAATTTGTCCCATTCCTGGAGACGCTAACCTTTCTCACTTGATTAAGCTGGTGTCTGTCAGCCTTCTCCACTGTGAAATTAATCTTTTTTCCCTTTGAACTTAGTAAGTATTCTGTGGGGGAAGTACTATGGAACTAGGTAAATATCCCATTCCACATCAAATTTTCTATTTATTCATTTATTTATACCAGTATGGATTCTTCTTTTATTCAATAAAATACGTATCGTTATTTATTTTGATGCTTAAACTTCCCAGAGTTGGCCAGTGGGAAGCCACTCAGGCTAGTTCCTGTGTCGTTTTGAGTTGTCATCATTATGTCAGCTTTCTTTGCTTTCTGGCACAAGATATCCTGGGGTCATCATGTACTTCTCTTGCTCCAGGCCTGGAATCAGACATTTTTCCAAAGAGCCTTGGTTCCTTTCAGTGCATGGAGCATGGTATTTGGAAGTCAAGATCTGGGCTCTAGGTGTGCCCATTGCTTTTGGCATGTCACTGCTCCTAGGCGCTCTCAGTGGACACATACACACACACACATATCTGTATTTGTTTCTAGATCTAGTGATAGATTTTGAAATCCGTGAGTTCACACTGATACCTACAACTCCAATTCAGTACCACAGGGTCCTTTCTGGTTTTCTCCCTCTTCAAATTTGTAACCTCCTTCTTCAACAGTGAGAAGCCTAGTTCTTATTATCCTTAATGTATTTACTTATTTGATCATCCTCTCCCCCCACCCCATGTAACCAGTTTCTCATCGCTATCACCCCTCCCTCCCATATACAGGTCCCCTCCTCACCCTACTTGGGCTGTGACGTCCTATGCCAGGACACCCAAATGCGCGGATGCTCCACCCACTCCACTCGAGCTCTGACATCTCACGTGGACCTTCCCCAACTTGGATGCCTCCTCACCCCCCTTAAGTTTCAATGCCCGAAGCCAGGCTGCCCTCCTCTCCCCACTTGGTCTCTGACACTCTGCACTGGCCCCTCTCTACCGCCATGTAGCTGTCCTCCTCAACTTGCTCAGGTGCTGACTCCCCACATAGTGTCCTCTTCACCCTGCTCTAGCTCTGACACCATGCACCAGGCTGGCCTGTGCATGGGCGTCCTCCTCGCCCTTACCCTGCTCTGCTCCTATGGGAGGACACCCTCCTTACCCTGCTCAGGCTCTTGACCCCCAGACCACCTATCTGAACAGATGTCCTCACCCTGCCTGGGCTCCAGTAGCAAGCCCTGGGCCTTGACCAGCAGGGACTCTTTTCTCACCTGGGCTCTGACAGTCCAGGCTGAGCTGCCTCTATATGTGGGTGTCCTTCTGTCTCCACTCAGGCTCCAACTGCCCACACTGGGGCTTCCCCCTTGTGGATACCCTCCTCACCCTTCCAGGCTCCAACATCCCAACTAATGCTTTCAGGACTGAATTGTTTAGGAAGAGAAAGGAAGGGGATAAAGACAAGGAAAAGGAACCCTGATCTACTCTTTAGTTTTCCAAAGCACTTATCACTGTCTAGCAAATGTTATACATTGCCTCTTCAGTATGTTAACCGTGTGGTGTACTGTGTGGTAAACCTGCCCGTGGTTCACTGAGGTATCCCCAGTACCTGGAAAGGCACCTGGAGGCACTGGTGCATAGGTGTGGAAGGAATGCATGTGCCTGAGGAGGTGCACACAGGGGCCTCACTCCCCTCTGCCCTGCCCCCTCAGACCTCCATTGAAAGAACTTCAGAAGTACTGGGACCAGGTACAAATGATTTATTTTGCTATAAAGAGCAAAGTACAAAGAGGTGGGAGGTGGGAAGGACAGCTGGGCTCAGAGGGGCAGCAGCGGGCAGGCCCAGTACTGGCCAACAGCCCAGGAGTAAATAGGCATCCAAGGCCCACTCGGTCAGGGGGCCTCTAGCTCAGGGGGCCTCCAGCGTGATAGTGGAAGTAGCTGGGGGAGGTGAGGGGGAAGCCCAAGATGGCAGCTTGGGTCACACAAAGCCAGGCTTCATGGACAAGCGACGGCAGTTGGGGCAGCTCCGGGTCCCGTTGTTCTGTAGGCACCTTGGGAGGCAAACACTTTGTCTACTCTCTCAAGGCTGTCCTTCCATCCTGGGTCCATCCCTCCATATCCTCATTCCCTCCCCTCTGCAGGGCTGGGAAGGCATCCTTGGTTACTGTTCAGGCTCCTGTGGGTAACCTGGCCTGCCCCCTTCCCACTCTGGCCCAGAGGCTTCCATGGGAAGAGTCAGGAGGTTGGAGCCAGCCTGTGCCACCACCCCGAGGCAGGTCTGGCCCTAAGTTTATGAATCTGGGGGCTCTGAAGGGCCTCTCTGAATTCTCTTTTGGGCAAACAATAATCAAAACGATGATGGTCACCTCACAGGGCGCTGGGAGGACTCAATGATTAATATACCAGAAGCTTTAGAACACGCCTGGAACACAGAAAGCACTATGTAGGCATCTGCTGTTCTTATTATTGTGATGTGCCTGCCAGCGGGGGCCTTGAGTGCCTCCAACACCCCCTCACCTGAAGTGGAAGATGTGGGAGCAGGGCAGGGCCTGCAGCCGGCTGTTCCTCTCACCGATGGACTCCCCGCACAGGCCGCAGTAGAGCTCAGTCTCCTCCACACACTCGTGGAAGTGCACCACATGGGCGCGCAGCTCCCGCTGCAGCCCCTTGCTGCGGTAGATGCTCTCGCTCAGACAGTGCAGCTTGAGCTGGCTTAGCTGGGCCCGGAGGGTGGGGACAGGGACAGGGCCAAAGTCAGTGTCAGTGAGCAGCTGGCCCGCCTCCCCTCCTTATCCTACCCGTGGGGCTGCCTCTGGGCCCTGGGCCATCAGTGCACCCAGGGTCCAGTCCCCTACCGCTTCCACGCCTGGCTGGTGGACCTAGGAAAAATGTCCTGCCCTCCCTGGGCCTTAGTTTCCCCTCATGCAAAGGGAGGGGGTGGGCAAGCCCCCCAGGCCTCACCCCTAGGACTCTTTGGGGATCCATGTTTTTGAAAAATTTTATTGATCAAAACTGCTACACTTACTCATAATAATTTGCTTTCCCATTTTTACTAATCTCGTACATATACAACAGCTCATCAGCCTTCCTGATCAACCTCAAAAAGCAATTATATTTGGCATTTTAGTTGGACTGTGTATCTAATCCCAGAGAAATGCTCAGCTTCTAGAAGACTTTGAGGAACACCGAGCCTATTTTCAACGTTTTTAAAATTTGGATACAATTATTAAATTTGGAGAGGCCACGTGTACTGTAGAAGGGACGTGGGCGTCAGAGGTGTAGTGAGGGTAAAAAGCACCCGGGGCAATCTCTAAATTGTGCCCCCCTCCCAATTTCAAGATGAATAGACATTGATAGCAGAAATAGCTTCCCCCTTCTTATCTGCCTTTCATATTTTGGCACCTCGGAACGTCATTCCATGCCTCATCTGGCGCCCCCTTGGACTTGTGCCGGGGGGCAAGTGCCCCCTTCTGCCAAAACCTCCCTTTTCTATGCCTCTGGCGGGCTTTGGAGCTAAGACAGACGGGTTGCTAGGCATGGGAACTTCAGCCCCCTCTGAGCCTCGTGTTCCTCATCCGCAGCATGGGGATCCCTGTACCCACCTTGCCAGGGTACAGCGAGGCCTGAACTGATGCCTATAAGAACCCTGTGCTTGGCCAGCTCTCAGTAAGAGGAGGCCACAGGTAGGAGTTTTAAGGAACACCAGAAGCCTCTTAAGAATGCTGATGTCCTCTGAGCTGTGACATTTTTGCCCCACCTTCAGAAGCATTCTCTGATGGAAGAGAAAACCAGGGTCTGGGGGTGGCTGGGGGTGGCTCCTGGGGGATTGAGAAAGGCCAGGGCACGGTGGAGTCAGGATGCCCCCCACCCCCAAGTCCCCTCCTTGGGCCCATGACCCCAGACCCAGGAGAAGGAATCAGGTCTGACCTTGTTCCCCACCTCCTCGGCCAGGTCCTGGGCTCTCTCGATGGCATCCAGAGCCTAGAAGGTGACGCAGGCGAGGGCTGTAGGCAGAGCTGCCTGACAGAGGCTTTGGCACTCAGAGAGGAAGGGGCAGGTAGGGGCAGGCCTGGGGAGAGCGACATGGCTGGGCAGCTGCCTTGTGTGTGAAAGTAGGGAAGACCGGGTGCAGTCACAAGAGCTGTAGAGGTAAGTTACCTCCTGCCTGAGTTTACAAAGATATAAAATGGGAAGAATGTTCCTGCCTCACAGGGTGTTGTGAGATCATAGGAGAGCTCATGGGAGGCAGTGAAAGCATCCTGAGTTCAAACCTCACCTCTGGCCCTTTACCCACTGTGAGTCTGTGGGCAAGTCATCGGCCTTCTCTGAACTTCAGTTTCCTCATCTGGAAAATGATTAGAAATGTCCTGGACCCATGAGGTTAGTGTGAAGCTGATGTTAGGCAAAGGGACGGAAAGATCCTCAGGTTGTTGACTCAAGTGGGGACCTGCTGGCCCTGAGTGGGAAGCATCAGGAGACCTGTGGGCTGCAGGGCAGGGCCCAGCCTCACCTTCTCTAGTGCCTTCCTGGCCATCCAGCATTTGGCCACACCCAGCAACACTTGCACCTGCCCCAGGCGGTTTCCAATCTCAGTCATGATGCTCATGGCGGAATCATACCTGGGGAAGGCCGTCTGCAGGGCCGGGATGGGGTGAAGTCAGGCTGAGCCAGGCCTGCATACCTGCACACACGCACACCCACCCTGAGCCCTCGCATCCAGGTGGCCTCACCTCCAGGTCCCCACGGCTCCGGTGGATGTCGGCAAAGCAGAGCAAGCAGAGTGCCTGCAGCGGCCGATCACCGTGCTGCAGTGCAATCTTCATAGACTCCTGTGCAGGAGGTGGTCCCTCAGGCCTGCTCAATGACCCCCACCACTGGGGTACCCCTCCCCAGAGGCCCCTCTGAAGGGGCAGCCCAGGGATCACCAACATCCTCAGAGCCCCATGTGCCTGTCACGGTGCTGAGGTCCCATGTACTGAGCCACTGAGGCCTCATAGCAAGGTGGCTATTGTTACTTGACAGGTGGAAACTGAGGCTCAGAGAGAAGTGACTCGATCAAGGTCACCAGCTACTAAGTGGCCAGCCTGGAACCCTGGGCAGTGACACTCCGGAGACTGGCCCTCTTCCCACTCTACTCTCCAAAGCGCCTCATGGGGGACACTGGGGGGCAGGGGGAAGCCCCCTCCTGTCTGGTGAGGATGGTATGGAAGGGAGAGAGGACATTTTTGTGGGGAAGGGTAGAGGAAAAAAATACCCTTCAAGGGCTCAGCCATAGGGAGCCTGGGCCAAAGGCAAGCCTGGGGGCCTTGAATGGGCTGGTTTAGAAGAAGGAAGCCCTGTCACCCTCGGCCCCAGGCCCCGGTCCATACAACCACCACCACCTGCCTGCCCCTTTCCCTGCTGCCCCACCTCACAACACTCCATGGCACTGCCCAGGTGGCCCAGCAGGCGATATGCCACAGCCATGTGGTACTGGCTCATGGCCCGGTACTTGAGGCTCCAGCCTTTGCCATAGTCGTTGACGAGTTCTGCAGCCTTGCAGGGGAAGAACAGGGCCTTCTCGTAGTCCTGCAGGGACACAGGGAGGGGGCAGGGTGGGAGCTGGCACATGAGTGGCAGGAGCTGCCCATAAGTTGAGAGCTCCAGGGTCTGGCTTCTCCCACAGCCAGGGAGGCCCACAGGCCCTAATCAGTGTTTGCTTGTTCATTCATTCATTCATTCTGGTATCCAGGGGAAAGTGATCCAGGCAGAGGGAAGAGCCAGCGCAAAGGTTTGGGCACCATGAAGGCAGGGATCCTTAGCTGGTTCACCAATGTATCCCAAGAGCCTGGCACCATTCTTGGCACTTAGTAGATGCTCAATAAATATTTGTTGAATGAATGAATGAGAAGTCAAGAGAATACAGTTGGCCTCTCTTCCCACCCAGTCCCAATTTGCCCCTCAGCTTTAGAGACACAGTGGGAGGGGGATATCAGCTCATCTCCTCCCCCACTAGAGCTTGCCCCCTGTCCCCCAAGAGCAGATGTTCACTGAAGGTTCAATGACTAACTGCCAGGGCCATTGGCTACAGAGGACATTGGGACAGACTCACTGAGACCATGAAATCATTCTCACATCTTCTCTGCAAACCTCCAAAACGTCATTTCTATCTGCCCATTATCAGCTCATGACCTTGCCCCATGCTTCATTGGGAAAAGAGAAAAAAATCAGAGAGGAGCTCCCTTATCATCATCCACCAGAGCTACCACCTCCTGTCTCTGTCTCTACACTCTCGCTGCCCCTCCTGTTGCTATGCAGGGGGTCTCCTTGCTCTTATCCAATACCAGACCCTCCACGTGGGCTCTGGACCAAACCTCCCCATCTCTGCACCATCCGGTTCTCTCCTTCTACTGAATCATTCCCATCATTGTAAAGACATGTTCTGGCATTTCACACCTCACTAAAAATAAAAAATAAAATAAAATAAATAGAAACCAAACCTTCTCTTGTCCCATTCCTCGTTTAGCTACAGCCGCATTTCTCTGTTCTTTTCTGTAGTAAGCCTATTTTATCTTCCACACAATATCTAATGAGCATTTCAGAGTTTATAGGACCAAAAGAGAACTCTTAATGCTTCCCCCTTCAACAAAAACCTGCTCCTAATATACCTAGCGCTTTTCAATTTGAAGCCACGTAAAGGTTTTACAGATTCAAAAATTAAATTAAATTAAAAAAAGCAATACCTAGAAATGGAAAATGGAAACAAATGACCCTAACTGCATAGAATATTAATATAATGACACAAAGGAAACAAAGTATTAATTAATTAATTAATCTGGTTTCTTCAATAAATCATGGAAAATAAATGAGAGGAGAGGAATTTTCTATTGAAAGAGGCTTAAGAGACATTACATTACGATATGTGACTCTTGTTTGTATTCCAATTCAAGTAAGCTGAGGAAAACCAGCTGCCATTGGTTGATTCTGACTCATGGTGACCCCACATGTGTCAAAGTACAACTGTTCTCGATGGGGTTTTCAGTAGCTGATTTTCAGAAGTAGATCTCCAGGCCTTTCTTCTGAAGTACCTCTGGATGGACTAACTATTTGGTTAGCAGCCGAGTGCTTTAGCCATGTACATCACCCAGGGAGGAGGTATATTTTCAGGATAAGTAGAGAAATTTAAATATGGGCTGGATATTAGATGTTATGCAGAGATGGTTAATTTTAGTGTGCATAATAATAGTATTGTGGCTATGTAAGCAAAGGGTCTTACATGCTCCCTTCCTCCCCTCTTTTAGAGATGCATACTGATCTACTAAGGGGTAAAATATGATGTCTATAATTTTATATTACAATACTTCAGTTAAATATAGGTAAACCAAATCATTATACTGTTCTCTCTACTGTCCTGTATAGTTAATTTTCTTCATAATAAAAAAGTGTAAACAAAATCCTAGGCATTGACCTTGTGACTCTCCTGTCTTCACACCCTACCTCTGATCCATCAGCGTTTACATGCTCATTTACTTCAAGATTTATTAAGCATCTACTATGTGCCAGGCATTAAAATCTCCCATGAGGAATCCAGACTTTCTGGAGCCATGAAGGCTGGATGAACCCCTAAAACTACTGCCCTGAGATAATCTTTAAACTTTAAACCAAAAATATCACCTGAAGTCTTCTTAAAAGCAAACAACAGTTTAGTTTAACTAGGAAAGAATGCCTGCCTTGAGCATTGTGTTCATTTAAGATCTGTCTATATGGGATCAAAATGACAACAGCAACTTGAAAAATTAATTAGAAAACTTAGGGGGCAGTGAGTTTATGTTAATGGGGGAGAAACAACTCAGAAAAGAAGGGTGAGAATGGCTGTGAAATTTGTAGAATGTAGTCAGTGTCACTGAATTGCACATGGAGAAATTGTTGAATTGGTGCATGCTCTGCTGTGTATAGTCTCAACAACAAAAAATAAAATAAATTATTTTTTTAAAAAATCTCCCATGAGGCCAAACACAGCCAGGATACCTAAGGGAAGGGGAACAAATTCTCATGATCAGAAGCCAGCAGCCACTGACCCTCTTGGTTCCTGCACAATCTGCACCCTTCTCTTACCTCCTCCCTCCTTACACTCCCCGCTCCAGGCACGCTAGGTGCCATAGATTTCAACTCATAGTGACCCCATGTGATGGAGCAGAATTGCCCCATACGGTCTTCTTGGCTATAATCTTCATGGGAGTAGATCACCAGGTCTTTCTCCCTCAGAGCCACTGGTGAGTTCGAACTGCCAATCTTTCGGTTAGCAACCCAGTGCTGAACCATTTGAGCCACCAGGGCTCCAAGCATGCTGGCCTCTTTATCCTGCCTAGAACATGCCAGGTGTGCTCCCCCCAGGGCCTTTGCTTTAGCTGTTCCCTGTCTTTGTTGTTGTTGCTGCCTAGAGTGCTCTTTCCCCAGATTTCTGCAGGGCTCACCCCTTCATCACCTCAGGTGATCGACCATCATCTCAGGAGGCCCCCTGAGCCACCTCCACCCTCAGCTCTTCCCTTGTTTCCACACCCCTCTTTGCTTTACTTTCTCCTAAGCCCTTTCTGAAAAACCTGGTGGTGTAGTGGTTAAGTTCCATGGCAGTTAACCAAAAGGTCGGCAGTTCAAGTCCACCAGGCGCTCCTTGGAAACTCTATGGGGCAGTTAGCTCTACTCTGTCCTATAGGATCACTATGAGTCAGAATCGACTCGAAGGCAATGGGATTTTTGGTTTTTTAAGCCCTTTCTAACACGCTGTAGAATCTACTTATTGGTTGTGTTTATTGTCTTTCTCCCCCAACTACAATGCTTTCTGAGGGTGTTGTTGGGTATCATTGAGTCGATTCTGACTCATAGTAACCCCGTGTGACAGAGTAGAACTTCCCCATAGGGTTTTCTTGGCTGTAATCTTTATGGAAGCAGATCGCCAGGTCTTTCTCCTGTGGAGCTGCTGGGTGGGTTCAAACCGCCAACCTTTGGGTAAGCAGCTGAGAGCTTAACGGTTGCTTCACCAGGGCTCCTTTTACGAGGGTAGTGACTTTGATGTTTTTTTCACTGCTGCACCCTAAGCCAACAGTGCCTGGGACAAAGTAGATGCTCAATAAATATTTGATGAATGAGTCTTTACAACCCTATTCTCCTTCATTTTATAGATGTACCTACCCAGGTTCAGAGAGGAGAGGTGATTTGCCCAAGATCACACAGCAAACACAGGACACTGCAGGTCCGTGGCCCATCCTCACACAACAGCCTCCTGTTCCCCAAGGAAATCAGACATATCAAAGTTTGAGTCCTGGCTCTGCCCTTTCCTGCCTCTCTGATGCTCGCTCGCCTGGTCTCTACCTAAAAGGGAGGACTGAACGAGGTAGTATAGGAAGGACTGTGGTTCATGGGGGGCTCCCAGGGAGCCCCAGCCCCGCACTGCCCTCCCTGGGCCCCACCTACCTTGACCTGGGCATAGAAGCTGCCCAGGCTGCAGCAGACGCGGCACTCCAGCATGGCGTCGTCATTGTTGTGGGCATAGCGCAGGGCCTTCTCGAAGCTCTCCAGGGCCTTCTGGAAGAGGCTGAGGCCCAAGTAGGCGTTGCCCATGCTCAGGCTGACCTGGCCTCCAAGATGGGCACCCACCCTGGTGCCCGGCAGGCCAAGGCAGGTCTTGCAGTAGGAGATGGTCTTGTGAAACTCGCATAGCTTCTCGTTGCTGCGTGCCAGGTTCAGGTAGCTCTCCAGCAGGAAGTCGGCATCCTCCAGCTCCCGAGCCGTGTCGATCTGCACCACGGCGAACTGCCCGCCAGGCAGAGGGAAGTGGCTGTCAGCTGGGCCTGGCCTCCAACCAGAGCCCCCAACCCCCCATCCTCAGACCCAGAGCATCAGACCCCAAAGCCTCAGACCCAGACCTTCCACACCCTGGGCTCAGACCTAGAACTTCCACTCCCCAGCCATAAACTAGAAGCTTCGGCCCTGCAGCCTCCACCCCTCAGGCTCAAATACATAGCACCAGACCCTAAAGTCTCAGACCCAGACCTTCCACTCCTCAAGACTCAGACCTGTTCTCCACTCCCCCCCCTGCAAACCAGAAGCTTCAGCCTTGGAGCTTCCACCCCCCAGGCTCAGCCCTGGAGCCTCCGCCCTTCTTCCCCCAGCCTCAGATCTGGAGTCTCCACCACCCTCCAACCCCCAGCCTCAAACCTGAAGCCCTCTCCCTGCAGGATCAGATACACAACCCCGAACACAAGGCAAAGACCTAGACTCCGAAACCTGGGCTTGAGATCCCTAAGCCCTGGACCCCAAGGCCTGAGAACCTCAGTAACAGAGTGTGGTGGTACACTGGAGCTCAAGGCCACAGGCCTGAATCCCAAGACAAGACCCAGCATCTAAGACCCCAGACTTTAGATGCGGATTCAGAGCCGCAGGCCCCGGCCCTCAGCCTGCAGAGGCAGTCGAGCCTGAGGAGCCCGGGAGAAGCTGGGCCCTGGCCTTGACCCTCCCACGCCCACGCCCCACTCCCACCTTCAGCATCTCCTTGTAGCGGCCCATCTCGGAGTGGGCTGTGACCAGGCAGCCCAGCACGCGGAAGCGCCCCACCAGGTTGGTGTTCTTCTCCAGCACCTTCATCCACACCTGCAGCGCCTTCTCCGTCTGGTTGGACTGGTACAGCTGGAGCCCCTTTTCGATCTGCTGCTTCGTCTGGTCCTGCCCCATCCTCCTGGAGCCCTGCGCCCCAAGCGGAGGAGACCCTGGTGGCTCTGGGCCTCTAGGCGCTCATGGCGCGGGACTCACCATGCTGCTGCCCAGGAAGGAAAGCAGCGTTGCTTGGAGCCGGCGCAGGGCCTGCAAGGGGAGCGGGCGCCACCCTGGGAACAAAGCTGGTGCGGCCTCTGTCCGCAGCTGTCCCTGCCAGTTGGGCCATGTGGCTGCTAAGGAATGTCAGTAGCAAGGTCACGCAGGCCTCTGCCGCACCCACCCCCAGGCTGGGAGGTGGCTTCCCCAGGGATGCAGGCAGCCTGCCACCTGGACATTCCTTGGGCTCTCTTCAGTATCCCTGAGGCTGGCCCTGACAGCCCTGGAGGGGCAGGCCCTCCCCGCAGCCTTGCCCAGGAGCGGCCTCCCAGGTTCTAGCCTGGGTTCTTCCAATTCACAGCATGACCCTGGTCGAGTCATTCGCCTCTCAGAGCCTCAGTTTCCTCAACTGTAAAATGAAGAAGTTGTTGTTAGTTGTTGAATCGATTTCAACTCATAGTGACCCCATGTGACACAGCAGAACTGCCCCACAGGGTTTCCTAGGTTATAATCTTTACGGGAGCAGATCGTCAGGTCTTTTCTCCTGTGGAATGGCTAGGTGAGTTTGTACAGCTAACCTTTTGGTTAGCAGCCAAGCACTTAATCATTGCGCCACCAGGGCTCCTTAAAATGAGGATAAAAAGCCCTATCCCCCTAGGGTTCTGAGGCAGTGTAGTACAGGCTGCCAGGGTTTGAATCCTGTGTGACTTTGGGCAAGTTATCTGGCCCGTCTGTACCCATTTCCTCATCCATGCGGTGAGGAGAGTAGCGGCATCTACCTCACTAGATTGCTAGGAGAACTAAACGAGTTACTAGCAGGCAAGGACTTACAACGGTGTCTGGCACGCAGGAAACGCTGTATGTGTTGATAAGCAAATGAAATGCCAGATGAGGTTGGCCCTGAAGACTTAAAAAGTACCCCAATTCCAGGAACATCTAGCTCAATTGGCATGACACAGCTTATAAAGACAGTGCTCTACACTCTACCTTGGTGAGTAGTGTCTGGGGTCTTAAAAGCCTGTGAGCAGCCATCTAAGATATTCCACTGGTCTCATCCCTTT